GGGTGATTAAGCAAGGTAGGGGTGATTAAGCAAGGTAGGGGTGATTATGCAAGGTAGGGGTGATTAAGCAGAGTACGGGTGATTAAGCAAGTTAGGGGTGATTAAGCAAGGTAGGAGTGATTAAGCAAGGTAGGGATGATTAAACAAGGTAGGGGTGATTAAGCAAGGTAGGGGTGATTCATTAAGGTAGGGGTGATTAAGCAAGGTAGGGGTGATTAAGCAAGGTAGGGGGAGATTAAGCAAGGTGGGGATGATTCAGCCAGATAGGGAGAATTCAGCAAGGTATGGGGGAAACAACAAGATAGGGAGAATTCAGCAGGGAAGGGGTGATTAAGCAAGGTAGGTGTGATTAAGCAAGTACGGGGTAAATAAGCAAGGTAGGGGTGATTAAGCAAGGTAGGGGTGATTAAGCAAGGTAGGGATGATTAAACAAGGTAGGGGTGATTAAGCAAGGTAGGGGTGATTCAGCAAGGTAGGGGTGACTAAGCAAGGTAGGGGTGATTAAGCAAGGTAGGGGTGATTAAGAAAGGTAGGGGTGATTAAGCAAGGTAGGGGTGATTAAGCAAGGTAGGGGTGATTCAGCTAGGTAGGGATGATTAAGTAAGGTAGGGGTGATTAAGCAGAGTAGGGGTGATTAAGCAAGGTAGGGGTGATTAAGCAAGGTAGGGGTGATTAAGCAAGGTAGGGATGATTAAACAAGGTAGGGGTGATTAAGCAAGGTAGGGGTGATTCAGCAAAAAAGGCGTGATTAAGCAAGGTAGGGGTGATTAAGCAAGGTAGGGGTGATTAAGCAAGGTAGGGGTGATTCAGCAGAGTAGGGGTGATTAAGCAAGGTAGCGGTGATTATGCAAGGTAGGGGTGATTAAGCAAGGTAGGGGTGACAAAGCAAGGTAGGGGTGATTAAGCAAGGTAGGGGTGATTAAGACACGTAGGGGGGATTCAGCAAGATAGGGAGAAATCAGCAAGGTAAAGGTGATTAAGCAAGGTAGGGGTGATTAAGCAAGATAGGGAAGATTCAGCAAGTTAGGGAGATTTCACCAAGGTAGGGGGGATTCAAGAAGATAGGGAGAATTCAGCAAGGAAGAGATGATTCAGCAAGGTAGTAGTGATTCAGCAAGGTAGGGTTGATTAATAGAAGTAGGGGTGATTAAGCAAGGTAGGGGTGATTAAGCAAGGTAGTGGTGATTAAGCAAGGTAGGGGTGATTAAGCAAGGTAGGGGTGATTAAGCAAGGTAGGGGTGATTCAGCTAGGTAGGGATGATTAAGCAAGGTAGGGGTGATTAAGCAGATTAGGTGTGATTCAGCAAGGTAGGGGTGCTTAAGCTAGGTTGGGGTGATTAAGCAAGGGAGGGATGATTAACCACGGTAGGGCTGATTAAGCAAGGTAGGGGGTGATTAAGCAAGGTAGGGATGATTAACCAAGGTAGGGGTGATTGATCAGAGTAGGGGTGATTAAGCAAGGTAGGTGTGATTAAGCAAGGTAGGGGGAATTAAGACAGGTAGGGGGGATTCAACAAGGTAGGGAGAAATCAGCAAGGTAGGGGTGATTTTGCAAGGAAGGGGGTGTTTAAGCAAGGAGGGGATGATTCAGCCAGATAGGGAGAATGCAGCAAGGAAGGGGTGATTAAGCAAGGTTATAGTGATTCAGCAAGGTAGGGTTGATTGATAGAAGTAGGGGTGATTAAGCAAGGTAGGGTTGATTAAGCAAGGTAGGGGTGATTAAGCAAGGCAGGTGTGATTAAGCAAGGTAGGGGTGATTAAGCAAGGTAGGGGTGATTAAGCAAGGTAGGGGTGATTAAGCAAGATAGGGGTGATTAAGCAAGGTAGGGGTGATTAAGCAGAGTAGGGGTGATAAAGCAAGGTAGGAGTGACTAAACAAGGTAGGGATGATTAAGCAAGGTAGGGGTGACTAAGCAAGGTAGGGGTGATGAAGCAAGGTAGGGATGATTAACCACGGTAGGGCTGATTAAGCAAGGTAGGGGGTGATTAAGCAAGGTAGGGATGATTAACCAAGGTAGGGGTGATTGATCAGAGTAGGGGTGATTAAGCAAGGTAGGTGTGATTAAGCAAGGTAGGGGGAATTAAGACAGGTAGGGGGGATTCAACAAGATAGGGAGAAATCAGCAAGGTTGGGGTGATTTTGCAAGGTAGGGGGTGTTTAAGCAAGGTAGGGGTGATTAAGCAAGGTAGGGGTGATTAAGCAAGATAGGGGTGATTAAGCAAGGTAGGGGTGATTAAGCAGAGTAGGGGTGATTAAGCAAGGTAGGAGTGACTAAGCAAGGTAGGGATGATTAAGCAAGGTAGGGGTGACTAAGCAAGGTAGGGGTGATGAAGCAAGGTAGGGGTGATCAAGCAAGGAATGGGTGATTAAGCAAGGTAGGGGTGATTAAGCAAGGTAGGGGTGAATTTGCAAGGTAGGGGTGATTAAGCAAGATAGGGATGATTCAGCTAGATACGGAGAATTCAGCCAGGAAGGGGTGATTAAGCAAGGTAGTAGTGATTCAGCAAGGTAGGGTTGATTAATAGAAGTAGGGGTGATTTAGCAAGGTAGGGGTGATTAAGCAAGGTAGGGATGATTAAGGAAGGTAGGAGTGATTATGCAGAGTAGGGGTGATTATGCAAGGTAGGGGTGATTAAGCAAGGTGGGGGTGATTAAGACAGGTAGGGGGGATGCAACAAGATAGGGAGAAATCAGCAAGGAAGGGGTGATTATGCAAGGTAGTGAAGATTTAGCCAGATTGGGAGAATTCAGCAAGGTAGGAAGGATTCAGGAAGATAGGGAGAATTCAGCAAGGAACAGGTGATAAAGCAAGGTAGGGTTGATTAATAAAAGTTGGGGTGATTAAGCAAGGTAGGGGTTGTTGGTGCAACCCTATGGCTTGCACTCGGCTTGTCGTCCTTGTTTGTGTGTGTGCATGCATGGCATGGAATGAATTGTGAGTCTATGTCATTGCTATCCAGTGCTTGTGTGTGTGTTTGAATGGTGTATCACAATGTGGTTTGTGTCGGTCAAGACATTAGCAAGTTTTTACAACTCGCATGTCAAGTCGTCGTTTGTGTGTCGCATGTGTTTTTTCTATTTTGTCGAGTGTGAAGTGTCGATCGTGTCGCAGGTGTGTGCAGCAAGCCCCCATCAACTCAAGAAGAATTTATCTTGCAGATCCAGGAACAAGAGCTCAAGATTTCAAGCCCAAGGGACGCGGATAAATATTAAATAGTGAAAATAGTAACGTTACTTCGTGTAGTGTTACATTTCACTTGGTGTAGCCCCTTGGAGGGTTGGTTTCGAGACTCTTCATGGTTGGGGACCCTGTGGTGGTGTACCACCAACCTGGACCTCGGCTCTTGGGGTATGTAGAGGCTGGGAACCATCTCCCTCTCGAACTCTTCTTGCTAAGTTTGTACTCCTAAGACTATTGTGGCTGCTATACCTCCTGCCAGTCAAACCGCCATAGCGTCGTCAAATCTTCATGGAATTTCATGATTCAACTTGCTGCTGATAGACGACAGCAACACGCTCCAGATCCAATTTACACATCACCGTTTGATTCAGTGACCAGATCGTTATCAGTATTTGAAGCCGTCTGACAGAAATCCGACTGTGCTCTCTATCTCTCATTATAGGCACATCTAAGCCTATTGTGATTATAACAAGTGGTATCAGAGCCCCTTGGAGCTGTCTCGACCATGCCTAGGCCTGAGGAAGGGGGTGGCAGAGGTGTTGGAGGCAGAGAAGACGCCCAAGCACAAGGTCAACACCAAGATCCACCCGTTGCTCCGGTGCAACCTAGCCTTGGACCCTCTAGGGATGAGCCTAGAGTGTTTGGCCTTGACAAGTTCAACGGTGACAACTTTGCTGAGTGGTCCTTCAAGATGGAGAACATCTTTGACCATTATGATCTGCTGGAGGTGATGGAAGGAACGGAGAAGCACCCCGAGAACGACCCGGAGAAGAGCCCGTGGGTGCGGAAGAGCGCACAAGGCTACCTTCTACTTGGGCAAGCGTTGGGGAGCAGCCAAATCCGTCACATCAAGCCTTTTCAGCGTGAACCAGCAAAGGGACCAAAGGCATGGGCTGCTCTCAAGGGTGTACACGCTCCTGCAACAGCGGCGGTGGCTGTGGTTTTGGAGCGGCAAATGGCGGCACTTCGAATTGACGAAGGCGAACCGGTGGAGGAAGGAGTGCAGAAATTCTTCGACTTGTTGACACGGCTCGAAGGAGCTGACCTGAACTACAGTGACCTTCAAAAGAAGACCAAGCTGCTAGCCTTACTTCCGGACTCATGGTCCTCGCTCATCATCAACCTTAATCGAGATCTGCCCCGTCTCTCACTCGAAGATGTGAAGCGGGAAATCTTACAAGAAGATTTCCGCCGTCGCGAATTGGCGGGTCCCGATGGTGCCGGAGTTGCAAGCATGGGCCGTGGGCACGGCCGTGGAAGGGGCAGAGGGCGAGGAGGCAGATTTGGCAGCAGCAACTTCAATGGAGGCCGTGGTAATGGAGGATATGGCAGCAACAACAATGGCTACGGGCGTGGGCGCGGTCGATTTGATGGCGAATGCCACTTTTGCCACAAGACCGGCCACATGTGGAGAGATTGCTTCAAACTACCTGATGGCTGGACCCCCTCTCAAGGCCAAGAGGGCAGAGGAGCAAGGGGAGGAAGAGGCAGAGGTCGTGGAGGCCGTGGTGGCCGTGGAGGCGAAGCGGCAAGCATGAAAGGTGGAGACTACGACAAGGACTCGAGTGAAGATCGATACCCGGGCCAATTCTTCTTTGTCTCCACGCAAGCGGCAGCTGCAGCAGGAGGTGTGGAAGGCTTTGAGGAGCCAGCTACTGTGGGAAAGGTCACCCTTCACTCTCTGGACTTTTGGGTGATCGATAGCGGCGCCACCTATAGCATGACACCTCGTGCGGACTTGCTCACCGAACTCGAACCGTCGCCGGTCAAGCATGTTACATCGGCTTTGGGACAGCGAGCAGAGGTGAAAGGCATGGGCAAGGCCATGTTCAAGGGTGCTGATGGGAAGATGGTGGGCCTCAAGAACGTGCTTTTGGTGCCCAACCTAGCAGCCAACCTGATTTCCGTTCGGCGTTTGCAAAAGGCCGGCATGGACACATCTTCCAAGGGTTCGAAAACATATACCGCGAGGCTTGGTGAGCGGAAGCTTTGGGACCTTCATGAGGACAGGGACATCTACAATGAGATGTGGCAAATCCCAGTGGTCCCCATGCCTAAGGAGAGGCAAGTGGCAGCAAGCGTCAGCACCAAGAGTGAAGCGGATGGTGGCGGTGATCACGGAAAACAAAGTGACACCAAGAGTGACTCGAAGGAGTGCAATCTTGGAGAGACCAGCAAGGCGTGTGAACCCAAGGAGAGTAGTGCAGCAGCCAAAGGTGGTGGAAATGAGGAGGAGAATCATAAGATCAGCAAAACAGCAGCGGCGAAGGAGAAAGGAGAGAGCTTGTGGGGCACAATTGCGAGTGCCGCTTTCTCCAACCCGACCTCCGCTACGGGAGAGTGTGATTGGCTGACCTTGCATCGGCGAATGGGGCATGTGGCATTGCCCATTTTGCAGCAGATAGTCAAGCAAGACATGGTCAGTGGGATACGTGTCAAGGGGGAGCCCAATGAGGTGCTTGGCTGTCCAACATGCATGCAAGCCAAGTTCACCCGCTACCCGTTCCATAGCTCGGAGACAACGGCGAAGGCACCACTTGATGAGGTGGTGATGGATGTGGTGGGTCCCTTGAAGCTTGGAGCTGCTGGAGCTGAGTACTTCCTCACCATTGTGGACGTCTACACTCGCATGACTTGGGTATATGTGCTGCCCAAGAAGAGTGACGTGGCTGAAACGGTGAAGACCGATTGGTTGCCGATGGTGGAGCGGCAACAAGACCGACTTGTGAAGGCGATTCGCACTGACCGTGGGGGAGAGTTCCTGAGCAAGAACTTCTCAACTTGGCTGAAGAAGCAGGGCATAAGGCACTCTCTTACCATGCCCTACTCTCCTGCAATGAACGGCATTGCCGAGCGTGCGAATCGGACACTCACGGAGACGGCTCGGGGACTTCTCATTGAAGCCGGTCTTCCCAATTACTTTTGGCCGGATGCGGTGCGGCATGCTTGTGTGGCCAAGAACAGAGCCTTGACTCACGTGGGAGAAGACAAATGGGTGCCCTATGTGGAGTGGATTGGAAGGAAGCCGAAGGTGGATATGCTTCGGGTGTTCGGGTGCATGTGCATGGCACTTGTGCCTAAGAAACTTCGGCACAACAAGCTTGATGCCAAGGCAACATGGGCCGTGCACTTGGGCATGGCTCAAAACAGCAAGGGATGGCTTCTTTGGGACCCATTTACCAAGAAGTTCCTGGTGAGCAGAGATTGCAAGTTCATGGAGAACTTACCGTACAAGGAGTGGAAGGCGGAGAACCAAGCGAAGATTGGTGTGCGGCTTGGAGAGGTGAAGAGTACCGGCTTGGAGCATGTGGAGCTGCCCTTGGAGCTGAGTAGCAGCAGCACTATCACAAGGCAATCTCCTCAAATGAATGGGGGAGAAGAGGAGGAGGAGGTGCAGCAAGGTGATGAGCGTACACCGTCACTTCCGCCTCGTGCTACAAGTGCTCGCGGGAACCGAGCAGATTTGCAGCAACGCCATGAGAGCATCCAAGTCCCTGCAGTAGAGGAGGAAGGAAGGGGGAGAAGGAGGACTCAGCCCCCCAATAGGTTGAGCTATGAACGGCTTGGAGGAGCAGCCAACTCAACCTTGACCGGTTCGGCTCTCATGCTAGGCGATGAAGCGGAAGATGAAAGCGAGGAGTGCGCTTTTGCCTTCTTCTCTCCGGTGGAGATACCGGGGGAGCCTACAAATCCCAAGGAGGCTTGGGAGGGCCCCAATGGGAAGGAGTGGAAGAAGGCCTCAGATGAAGAGATGGGGAGCATCATCGAGAACGACACGTTTGACTTGGTGAACCTACCCCCGGGGCGTAAGGCGATCTCTTCCAAGTGGCTCTTCAAGCGCAAGACCGACGCCGACGGCAACATTGAGCGCTACAAGAGCAGACTTGTAGCCAAGGGGTACCAGCAGCAGGAGAAGAAGGACTACAATGAAGTATATGCTCCTGTGGTAAAGGGTACAACCCTTCGAACCCTCTTCGCCGCGGCGGCCATCAAAGGATGGGTGGTGAAGCAAATGGATATCGTAACGGCCTTCCTCAACGGAGTTTTGGAGGAAGAGACCTACATGGAGCAGCCAGAGGGGTACAATGATGGGAGTGGCAGAGTGTGGAAGCTGAAGAAAGCACTCTATGGCCTCAAGCAAGCCCCTAGGCAATGGTACATCAAGCTGCGGGAAGTCTTGGAGGCGATCGGTTTCACTCCCTCAACGGCCGATCAATCATTGTTCATGCTTGGCGAGGGGGAGCAGAGGAGCTTCATGGTGGTTTATGTGGATGACATCCTCATATTCTCACCCTCCTCTGACCTTGTGAAGGAGGTGATGCTGAAGCTTCAAGACAAGTTCAAGTGCAAGACCCTTGGTGACGTCAACTACTACCTTGGGCTTCACATTGAGCGAGATGTGGAGAAGCGGTGGATGCGAGTGCATCAAAAGAAGTACTTGGAGGCCTTGGCTGCAAACTTTGGAAAGAGTGAAGGTCATGTGGCTACTCCTCTTCCCTCAGGGTTCAAGTGTGTGAAAGGACCAGCAGAGGAAAGTGTTGGTGAAGAGGAGAGGCGCCGTTTTCATTCCTTGGTGGGCAGCCTCATGTATGCGGCCGTTCACACAAGGCCGGATGCAGCCTTTGCTACCGGACAGCTAGCTAGGGTTGTCCAATGCCCTAATGAAGAGCAGGTAGCAGCTGGAGAGAGGGTGGCCAAGTACCTTGGCCAAACAGCAACTGTTGGACTGCAATACTCCGCGGCGGCACAAAGGCGTCAAAAGGGTGCGGATGGAGTCGAACCCGGGAGGCTCTTTCTCACCGCCTTCTCTGATGCATCTTGGGCATCAGAACCAGAGGACATGACAAGTGTGGGAGGCTTCATCTGCTGTGTTGGTGGAGGACCAACAGCTTGGGAGAGCAAGAAACAAGTGGACCAAGCATTGAGCTCGGTGGAGTCCGAGTACATGGCACTCTTCCGTGCCATAAGAGAGGTTGTGTGGCAGCGGCGTTTGCTAGCTGAATTGGGGGAGGAGCAGCAAGGACCTACCCCCCTCTACTGTGATAGCCAGGGTGCTATTGCATTGGCTAAGAACCCCGTTCTTCATGGCCTTACCAAGCACATGAAGGTGAAGTGGCATTGGGTGAGGAGCATGGTAACCGCGGGTGAAGTGGAGTTGCACTACGTGAAGACGACGGCGCAGCCAGCTGATATGATGACCAAGAGGCTGGTTGAGCAGCAGCATTGGAAGTGTTGCAAGCTTGCTGGGATGGCTCTGAACTAAGGGGAGCAGATTCTAAGGCCAACAATCCGAGGGGGAGTTTGTTGGTGCAACCCTATGGCTTGCACTCGGCTTGTCGTCCTTGTTTGTGTGTGTGCATGCATGGCATGGAATGAATTGTGAGTCTATGTCATTGCTATCCAGTGCTTGTGTGTGTGTTTGAATGGTGTATCACAATGTGGTTTGTGTCGGTCAAGACATTAGCAAGTTTTTACAACTCGCATGTCAAGTCGTCGTTTGTGTGTCGCATGTGTTTTTTCTATTTTGTCGAGTGTGAAGTGTCGATCGTGTCGCAGGTGTGTGCAGCAAGCCCCCATCAACTCAAGAAGAATTTATCTTGCAGATCCAGGAACAAGAGCTCAAGATTTCAAGCCCAAGGGACGCGGATAAATATTAAATAGTGAAAATAGTAACGTTACTTCGTGTAGTGTTACATTTCACTTGGTGTAGCCCCTTGGAGGGTTGGTTTCGAGACTCTTCATGGTTGGGGACCCTGTGGTGGTGTACCACCAACCTGGACCTCGGCTCTTGGGGTATGTAGAGGCTGGGAACCATCTCCCTCTCGAACTCTTCTTGCTAAGTTTGTACTCCTAAGACTATTGTGGCTGCTATACCTCCTGCCAGTCAAACCGCCATAGCGTCGTCAAATCTTCATGGAATTTCATGATTCAACTTGCTGCTGATAGACGACAGCAACACGCTCCAGATCCAATTTACACATCACCGTTTGATTCAGTGACCAGATCGTTATCAGTATTTGAAGCCGTCTGACAGAAATCCGACTGTGCTCTCTATCTCTCATTATAGGCACATCTAAGCCTATTGTGATTATAACAGGGGTGATTAAGCAGAGTAGGGGTGATTAAGCAAGGTAGGGGGTGATTAAGCAAGGTAGGGGTTATTAAGCAAGGTAGGGGTGATTCAGCTAGGTAGGGATGATTATGCAAGGAAGGGGTGATTAAGCAGATTAGGGGTGATTCAGCAAGGTAGGGGTGCTTAAGCTAGGTTGGGGTGATTAAGCAAGGGAGGGATAATTAACCACGGTAGGGGTGATTAAGAAAGGTAGGTGTGATTAAGCAAGGTAGGGGTAATTTGCAAGGTAGGGGGTGATTAAGCAAGGTAGCGATGATTAAGCAAGGTAGGGGTGATTGATCAGAGTAGGGGTGATTAAGCAAGGTAGGGGTGACTAACCAAGGTAGGGGGAATTAAGACAGGTAGGGGGGATTCAACAAGATAGGGAGAAATCAGCAAGGTAGGGGTGATTATGCAAGTTAGATGTGATAAAGCAAGGTAGGGGGTGTTTAAGCAAGGTAGGGATGATTCAGCCAGATAGGGAGAATTCAGTAAGGAAGGGGTGATTAAGCAAGGTTATAGTGATTCAGCAAGGTAGGTTTGGTTGATAGAAGTAGGGGTGATTAAGCAAGGTAGGGGTGATTAAGCAAGGTAGGGTTGATTAAGAAAGGTAGGGGTGATTAAGCAAGGTAGGGGTGATTAAGCAAGTTAGGGGGTGATTGAGCAAGGTAGGGATGATTTAGGAAGGTAGGGGTGATTAAGCAAAATAAGGGTGATTAAGCAAGGTAGGGGTGATTGATCAGAGTAGGGGTGATTAAGCAAGGTAGGGGTGACTAAGTTAGGAAGGGGGAATTAAGACAGGTAGGGGGGATTCAACAAGATAGGGAGAAATCAGCAAGGTAGGGGTGATTATGCAAGTTAGGGGTGATTAAGCAAGGTAGGGGGTGTTTAAGCAAGGTAGGGATGATTCAGCCAGATACGGAGAATTCAGTAAGGAAGGGGTGATTAAGCAAGGTTATAGTGATTCAGCAAGGTAGGGTTGATTGATAGAAGTAGGGGTGATTAAGCAAGGTAGGGGTGATTAAGCAAGGTAGGGTTAATTAAGCAAGGTAGGGGTGATTAAGCAAGATAGGGGTGGTTAAGCAAGGTAGGGGTGATTAAGTGGAGTAGGGTTGATTAAGCAAGGTAGGAGACACTAAGCAAGGTGGGGATGATTAAGCAAGGTAGGGGTGACTAAGCAAGGTAGGGGTGATCAAGCAAGGAAGGGGTGATTAAGCAAGGTAGGGGTGATTAAACAAGGTAGGGGTGAATAAGCAAGGTAGGGGTGATTAAGCAGAGTAGGGGTGATTAAGCAAGGTAGGGGATATAAAGCAAGGTAGGGGTGATTGAGAAAGGTAGGGGGGATTCAGCAAGATAGGGAGATATCTGCAAGGTAGGGGTGATTAAGCAAGATAGGGGTGACTAAGCAAGGTAGGGGTGATTATGCAAGGTAGGGGTGATTAAGCAAGGTGGGTGTGATTAAGACAGGTAGGGGGGATTCAACAAGATAGGGAGAAATCAGCAAGGTAGGGGTGATTCAGCAAGTTAGGGGTGATTAAGCAAGGTAGGGGGTGATTGAGCAAGGAAGGGATGATTCAGCCAGACAGGTAGAATTCAGAAAGGAAGGGGTGATTAAGCAAGGTAGGGTTGAGTAAGCAAGGTAGGGGTGAATAGGCAAGGAAGGGGTGATTATGCAAGGTAGTGAAGATTTAGCCAGATTGGGAGAATTCAGCAAGGAACAGGTGATAAAGCAAGGTAGGGTTGATTAATAGAAGTTGGGGTGATTAAGCAAAGTAGGGGTGATTAAGCAGAGTAGGGGTGATTAAGCAAGGTAGGAGTGACTAAGCAAGGTAGGGATGATTAATAGAAGTAGGGGTGATTAAGCAGAGTTGGGGTGATTAAGCAAGGTAGTAGTGATTCAGCAAGGCAGGGTTGATTAATAGAAGTAGGTGTTATTAAGCAGAGTTGGGGTGATTAAGCAAGGTAGTAGTTATTCAGCAAGGTAGGGTTGATTAATAGAAGTAGGGGTGATTATGCAAGGTAGGGATGATTAAGTAAGTTAAGGGTGATTAAGCAAGGTAGGGGTGATTAAGCAAGGTAGGGGTGATAAAGCAAGGTAGGGGTGATGAAGTGGAGTAGGGGTGATTTATCAAGGTAGGGGTGATTTAGCCAGGAAGGGGTGATTAAGCAAGGTAGGGATGATTAAACACGGTAGGGGTGATTAAGCAAGGTAGGTGTGATTAAGCAGAGTAGGGCTGATTAAGCAAGGTAGGGGTGCTTAAGCTACGTAGGGGTGATTAAGCAAGATAGGGATGATTAAACACCGTAGGGGTGATTAAGCAAGGTGGTGGTGATTAAGCAAGATAGGGATTTTTCAGCTAGATAGGGAGAATTCAGCAAGGTAGGGGGGATTCTGGAAGATAGGGTAATTCAGCCAGGACGGGGTGATTAAGCAAGGTAGTAGTGATTCAGCAAGGTTGGGTTGATTAATAGAAGTAGGGGTGATAAAGTAAGGTAGGGGTGATAAAGCAAGGTAGGGGTGATAAAGCAAGGTAGGGGTGATTAAGCAAGGTAGGGGTGATTTAGTTGAGTAGGGGTGATTAAGCAAGGTAGGGTTGATTAAGCAAGGTAGGGGTGATTACGCAAGGTAGGGGTGATTAAGCAAAGTAGGGGTGATTAAGCAAGGTAGGGGTAATTAAGCAGAGTAGGGGTGATTAAGCAAGGTAGGGGTGATTATCCAAGGTAGGGGTGATTAAGCAAGGTTGGGGTGATTAAGCAAGGTAGGGGTGATTAAGCAAGGTAGGGGTGATTCGGCAAGGTAGGGGTGATTAAGCAAGGTAGGGGTGATTAAGCAAGGTAGGGGGTGATTCACCAAGTTAGGGTGGATTCAATTAGGAAGGAGGGATTCACCTAGGTAGGGGGGGTTCTGCAAGAGAGAGGGAAAAAAGAAAGGTAGGGGTAATTAATGCAAGGTAGGTGTGCTTAAACATGGTAGGGAGAATTCAGCAAGGTAGGAGGGATTCAGCAAGATAAGGAGAATTCAGCAAGGAAGGGGTGATTGAGCAAGGTAGGGGTGATTAAGCAAGGTAGGGGTGATTAAGAAAGGTATGGGTGATTAAGCAAGGTAGGGGTGATTAAGCAAGATATGGGTGATTAAACATGGTAGGGGTGATTAAGCAAGGTAGGGGTGACTAAGCAAGGTAGGGGTGATTAAGCAAGGTAGGGGTGATTAAGCAAGGTAGGGATGATTAAGCAAGGGTTTAGCAAGGGTTTAGGGTCTACAGACACACTTCCAGTGAGCAGCCGTAGTAGGGAGCAGGTTTAGCAAGAAGGAAAAGCAGTCGTGTACGCAGATCTTCGGACACACTTCCAGTGAGCAGCAGCAGAAGGGAACAGGTTTAGCAAGAAGGAAAAGCAGTCGTGTACGCAGACCTGCGGACACACTTCCTGTGAGCAGCGGCAGTAGGGATCTGGTTTAGCAAGAAGGAAAAGAAGTCGTGTACACAGATCTGCGGACACACATCCAGTGAGCAGCAACTGTAGGGAGCAGGTTTAGCAAGAAGCGAAAGCAGTCGTGTACGTAGATCCGCGGACACACTTAGAGTGAGCAGCGGCAGTAGGGAGCAGGTTTAGCAAGAAGGGAAAGCAGTCGTGTACTCAGATCTGCGGACACACTTCCAGTGAGCAGCGGCCGTAGGGAGCAGGTTTAACCAGAAGGAAAAGCAGTCGTGTACGCAGATCTGCGGACACACTTCCAGTGAGCAGCACTAGTAGGGAGCATTTTGCAGATCTGAGGACACACTTCCAGAAAGCAGCGGTAGTAGAGAGCAGGTTTAGCAAGAAGGGAAAGCAGCTGTGTACGCCGTTCTGCGGACACACTTCCACTGAGCAGCGGTAGAAGGGAGCAGGCTTAGCAAGAAGGAAAAGCAGTCGTGTTCGCAGATCTGCGGACACACTTCTAGTGAGCAACGGCAGTAGGGAGCAGGTTTAGCAAGAAGGAAAAGCAGTCGTGTACGCAGATCTACGGACACACTTGCAGTAAGCAGCTGCAGTAGGGAGCAGGTTTAGAAAGAAGGAAAAGTAGTTGTGTACTCAGATCTGCAGACACACTTCCAGTGAGCAGCGGTGGTGGGGAGCAGGTTTAGGAAGAAGGGAAAGCAGTCGTGTACGCAGATCTGCGGACACACTTCTA